CAGGACTAGATGGCTTCACTAGTGAATTTACCAAACATTTAAAGAATTAATAGCAATTCTTCACAAACTCCTCCAAAAAACAGTAGAGAAAGGGACACTTAACCCATTCTATGAGGCCTGTTATCAAGACCAAACAAGATATCACAAGAAAAAAAAACAGCTACAGTCCAACATCCCTTATAAGTGTGGCTGTAAATATCCTCAAAAAAATACTAACAAACTGAATCCAGCAACATATAAAAAGGAGTATACACTATGACCATGTGAATTTATCCCAGAAATGCAAGATTGGGTTAACGTCCAAAAATCAATTAATATAATTTTAAATATTAATAGAATAAAATATAAAAACCACCTGATCACCTCAATAGACCCAGAAAAAACATTTGACAAAATCCGACACCCTTCCATGATAAAAACACCACACAAACTACGAACAGAAGGGAACATCCCCAGTCTTACAAAGAACATCTACAAAAAACCGCACAGGCGTTTCATCTTAATGGAGGAAGAAGGAATGCTTTCCCCCTAAGATTAGGAATAAGACAAGAATGTCCCCTCATGATACTTCTATTCAACACTGTACTGGATTCTAGCCATGAAAATTAGGTAAGAAAAAGAAATAAAAGACATTCAGATTGAAAAGAAAGAAGTAAAACTATCTCTATTCACAAATGACATGATCTTATATATAGCAAATCCTAAGGAATCCACTAACAAAATGATTAGAACTAATGAAAGAGTCCAGTAAGATGGCAGGATACAAGATCAATACACAAAAAATCATTTCTACTCCTATATACTAGTAGTGCACAATCCAAACAATGCAATTAAGGGGAATTCCCTGGCAGTCCAGTAGTTGGGACTCCACACTTTCACTGCCAAGGGAGCAGGTTCAATCCCTGGTTGGGGAACTAGGATCTTGCAAACTGCATGGTACAGCCCACCCCACCCCCCAAATGCAACTAAGAAACAAAACAATCCCATTTATAACATCAGCAAAAGCATTAAAAACTTTGGAATATATTTAACAAAAGGAGTGTAAGACTTGTATACTGGAAACTATTGAAAGAAACTAAAGACCTGAATAAATGGAAGGACATCCCATGTTCATGGATCAGAACACTTAACATTCTTAAAGTTAGCAAAATTGATCTACAGACTCAATCCAATCTCTTTCAAAATTCTAGCTGGTATTTTTGTAGAAATTGACAAGCTAATCATAAAATTTGTATGGAAAAGCAAGGGAGCCAGAAAAACAATCTTGAAAAAGAACAAAGTTGGAAGACTCACAGTTCTCAATTTCAAAACCGACTACAGGGCTTCCCTAGTGGCGCAGTGGTTGAGAGTCCGCCTGCCGATGCAGGGGACTTGGGTTTGTGCCCTGGTCCGGGAAGATCCCACATGCCACAGAGCTGCTGGGCCTGTGAGCCATGGCCGCCGAGCCTGCGCATCCGTAGCCTGTGCTCCGCAATGGGAGAGGCCACAACAGTGAGAGGTCCGCGTAACACACACACATACACAAAAAAAAAGACTACAAAGCTATAGTTACCAAGGCATAAAGATACACATATAGATTAATGCAACAGAATTGAGAGTACAGAAATAAAACCTCACATTTACAGTCAATTGATTTTCATTAAGGGTACCAAAACCATTCAACAGGAAAACAATCGTCTTTTCAACAAATGGTGCTAGGACAACTGTATATTCACATGCAAAAGAATGAATTTGGATATCTAGTTCATACCATACACAAAAATTAAGTCAAAATGAATCACAGACCTGAATATAAGAGCTAAAACTATAAAACTCTTAGAAGAAAACATAGGAGTAAATTTTTGTGAACTTGGGTGAGCAATGGTTTCTCAGATACAATAGCAAAAGCACAAGCAACAAAACAAAACAAAACAAAAATAGATAATAGGACTTCATCAAAATTTAAAACTTGTGTTTCAAAGGGCACTATAAAGAAAGTGGACTAGATCATTTCACAATGTATACAAATATTGATTGAATCATTAAGTTGTACACCTGAAACCAATAATGACATATCAATTACACCTCAATTTTTTTTAATTTTTAAATTAAAATTTTTAAAAGAGAGAAAAAAGAAAGTGAAAAGACAAACCACAGAATGGGAGAAAATATTTGTAAATCTGATAATAGACTTGTATCCAGACTATATAAAGAACCTTACAACTCAACAATAAAAAAAAAGATTTTTTTAATGGACAAAAATTTGAATAGATATTTCTCCAAAAAACATATACAAATGGCCAATAAGCACAAGAAAAGATGCTCAATATCATTAATCATTAGGGAAATGCAAACCAAGACCACAACTAAATTTACTTCCTACTCACTCTAGGATGGTTAAAATTAAAACCATGTTCAATAACAAGTAATGGTGAGGATGAGGAGAAATTACAACCCTTGCACATTGCTGGTAAGAATGTACAATAGGGCTTCCCTGGTGGCGCAGTGGTTGAGAGTCCGCCTGCCGATGCAGGGGACACGGATTCGTGCCCCGGTCCGGGAAGATCCCACATGCCGCAGAGCGGCTGGGCCCGTGAGCCATGGCTACTGAGCCTGTGCTCCGCAACGGGAGAGGCCACAACAGTGAGAGGCCTGCATACCGCAAAAAAAAAAAAAATGTAAAATAGTGTAGCCTATTTGGAAAACAATTTAGCGATTCCTCAAAAAGTTAACTTGTAAATAATCATCTCCCCATAGGTCATATAGAAGCTAGGGGATCTATATGCTGAGTACAAAAAGTTGTACACAACTGTTCATAGCAGCATTATTTATAATACCAAAAAGTGGAAACAGCTAGAATGTCCATCAACTGATGAATGGATAAACAAAATGTAGTATACCCATACAATGGCATATTATTTGGCAATAAAAAAGAATGAAGAACTGATAACATGCCACGACACGGATGACTCTAAAACATTACATTAAATGAAAAAGGCTAACAGAACTATATATTGTATGAACTCATTATGTAAAATGTCCAGAATAGGCAAATCTAGAGAGATAAAAGTAGATTAGTGATTGCCTGGGGCTAGGGGATGGAGGAAATAGGAAATGATTACTAAAGATACAGGGCTTCTTTTAGGGGTAATAAAAATGGTTTAAGATTACATAGTGGAGAGAATTCCCTGGTGGTCCAGGGGTTAGGACTCCGAGCTCTCACCCAGGTTTGATCCCCGGTTGGGGAACGAGGATCCCACAAGCCAAGCAACAGGGCCCCCCGGCCAAAAAAAATAAAAAGATGAGGGGATGGCGGGGGGCGGGGGGGGGGGGCGGGGGGGTAGTTGCACAACTCTGAATATATACTAAAAACCACTCTACATGGGTGAATTTAAGATATGTGAAATATATCTCAATAAAGTTATCAATCAAATCTTAACAGTAACAAGTCAGCAGGAAAAGCATAGACTGTTCAATAACTAGTACAGAAAAATTGGCTATTGCTCTGGAAAAAATAAAATCAGTTCCATCTTACAGGGTTGAGTGGTTCTCAACCTTGGCTGGACATAAAAGTCACCTGGGGCATTTCATAGCCACGCCTAGGCTCCACCCTGAGATATTTTAATTTTATTGGTCTGATCTGAAATGAGGCTCAGACAATCGTACTTTCTTAAAAAGCTCCTCATGAGGCTTTCCTATGTAGCCAGAGTTGAGAACCATTGTCACATAAAAGAAATACATTCCAGGTGAATTTAAAATGTAAGTGTGGAAGCAAAATTTAAAAAGAAAATAGACTAAATATGTTTCTGTAAAATCAGAGTAGGAAAAGATTTCTTGAATAAGACACAGAAAGTATGAACAAAAGACTGGCAAATCTGGCAACATTAAAATTAAAACTTCCCTATGAAAAATGACATTAATAAAGTTAAGACAATCCAGAGCTATATGTAATGAATATAACCTACAAAAGATTATTTATTATCATTTATTTAGCATACATAAATATATATATATATATATATATATATATATATATATATATATATATATA